CACTAACTTTTCATGTAAATTATAACAATTTGTATGATGACTAGTATTATGTACATATTAAAAAAAATCTAGTGTACTTTATTTTAGCCGGGTGTTATAAAGCCAATGTTTAAGTGAAATTTGGATTTTTAAATGAGCATATACCTAAAACTTAAATCAAAATGAGTAAGTTAAAGATGGTTACTTTACGTTATCTGTATGCTTGTAATGAGTTATAATTAGAGAATGATTTGATATTGATGATATATGATAATGAGATACATGTATACATATATGGAAATGTTGAGCTAAATTGTTGAAGTTTTTACAAGATCATGCATACTTGTATTAGAAGTGATCACATGGATGGGCTGGTTCTCATAGCAAACAAGAAAGATCACAAGGCTTTGTAAGCCAAGGAGGATACGATATGCCACCCAAACAAACCTTAGAACTTATAGAGACAATTGTAGATTAAGTAACTAAATCCCTCTGAGATGTGTTGCATACTCTTCTCGATGCTAGGGAAGTGACAATGTAACATCTTGTTTATTAACAAATAAATAGATAAAAAATTTTGATGAAAGAATAGTTGCCCTATATCGATATTATTTAGTGCGTTGTTGTTTTTGGGAAGCCGAATGTCAAAAATTGGATTATTCGGGAGCTAAAGTGTATTTCTGGGACTTAGTTGATGAAGATTTTCAGAAGTTAGGGGTTGTTTGGTAAGATTCGAACTTAATTGAAAAGATACTGAAGTGTTGAGGGCTACCAATAGTGTTAATCATGCATGAGTTTTGAATGAAGCGGGACTTAAAACCCGATGCCTCATTTCCTCCGATGACAACATCATAACCCTAAACCTAATGCATTTCTAGCTGCCACCATGAGGAGACCTTCTAGCCACTGTTGATCTCCTTGTCGGAAAAGCTAAGGGGTTGCAAGCCCGAGCCGACCACCACAGCTCTGCTGTCAGTGACATCGTGAACGGCTAAGAGGATGACCAAGATAGGAGTTGGAGACGTGAATGATGAATAGCTGGTTGTTAGCAGCCATAATCCCTAGGTAAGATCAACCTCGCCTCGTATTTTCGTTTCCCACGAGTGGTTCGACTCCATATGAGTCGTTGTTGCCACCGAAAGCACCGTGGTCGCCATTTTGCTTGATTCCAACCTCCTCAGCCACCTAGTTGGTGGTTGGGAGATGTTTTTCTCATACCTGGAAGAGATTAAGTTGTTGTTAGAACCCCGAGGTGGCTGTGGATGCTTGGTTGGCCATAAAAACCCGATAAAAACCCACCATGGTTGCCAACCATGGTGGCTGCAACCATAGCTTCCCTTCCTGCCTCCACCAGCCACCGAGAGGAGGTTGTTATGTGCATTATTTGGTGTGTGTGTGTGTGTGTGTGGGTATAGTTTGTGAATTTAATGTTGTATGGATATTTAGACAGGAAAAAAATGAAGAAAACTCATCACCACCACATGCTACCGCCATTCCACCGATTGCTACCACCACTCTACCACTGTTGGCCACCATCTCGGCTGGCTGTGGGCTTTCAGGTGCGTTTAGATTGATGTCTTGAGTGCTTTTGGTGTTGTGTTGGCCCAAGTACATAACCACCACTATGAGGTGTTGGTTGCCTCCATGAACAACCATTGTGTGTGTTTGATGTAGTTAGTGTGTGTTTGATGTAGTTAGTATGTGTTGAATTTTGGTTAAGACATTACAAAGTGTAATTACCTCAATTATAATGAAAAGAAATTGAAAACCACCACCATAGGGTAGTGGCTGCTGCTACCAGTCGCCGTCTCAGGTGGCCGTGGCTTTTGCCTCGTTGTTATCGATTCGTTTTGGGTGCTTTAAACACTAGTGGGCCTTGTAATCCCTAATGGGCAAAATGAAGCTTAGTGGACCCTAATTGACCCAATAAAACCCTAATGGGATTAATGATATTCTAGTAGGCCTAATAGGACTAATAAAGCCCTAATTGACCTAAAAGCCTAACAAATTGATAAATGGGCTAGTATTTGGGTTGGAAAAACCATAATGCCAATAAAACCCTGATTTAGGGAATTAATCAGGACATACAGGAATTATTTAATAATTGGAGATATTAAATAATAATCATTGTCAAAAATTAATCTAAGCAATATTGAAATTAATGGATTAAGTCCTTAATGGGTTAAGTGAGGAACACTTTATCCTAATCATCATTTTATGTGAAAACCCTAATTTCACATGGGTTTATTCTTGGGCCTTTCAATTAGGCCTTGATGATTGGATTATTAATGGACCATCTAAGATCAAGCAAATGGATTAGAATAATTAATGGGCTTTGAAGTAAGGCCCATATGAGGAGTTGGTCCCAATTTGGAAGACTGAGCCATAGATATGATATTGGGCCATTAGAATGTTGAATATTTGACTGCACCAAATGGTTGGGCCTTATGGTAAGACCTTATAAAGGTTTAGGCCCAATTTAGAAAATTAGGCCATATGTTTGGCTTTGATTCATAGTTGACTTTGGGCCTATGGATTTGGACTTGGGCTTGAATAAAGCCAACCTTCACTACTAGAAAAAAGCCCTTTAATGATGCGAAAACAATGACACGCGGTGATTTAAAATACGCAAAAGTGTGTGCCCCAAAAATAATGTCATCTCTTCTAAAATTTCAAGGATAAAGGACGCGCTTTTTGTGCGCGTCCTAAAATTGGTGTCAGAAAAGAAAAAAACAGATTTACGGAGGATACCTTTCATAAGATGTTCATCATGTAAGTGTGTTGCTTTATATTTTTTTTAATGAAACACGCGTTTTAAGCGGGAAACGAAATCTCAAAAGTTAAAACCCCGCCTCCTCTTCCAATTAGCAAGAAAGAAGCCTAGGGTCTTCGTCTTCCCACCCCCCTCTCTCTAACCTAAAACCTAACCTAGGATTTTGTAGAGATCTCCCATGGCTGTAACAAATGTTGTCTCATCTCATTGATCTTCGCAACGATGGTGGCTTGACGGAAAGAATATGGCAACGACGGTGGCTCCAAAGAAAAAAGACGCCACACCGGTGACTTTAGGGATTGAAGATTACAATGATGAGTGGGTCAACCCTCATGAAATCGATCCACACTTGCTACTTTTCTCCTACCTTTCTCTCTACCCTTCTGTTTCACCATAATCATCTTCTTATTCATTCACAAAATATTCAACATGAAAATCAAATCATTGTTTCATATTTCATTCATTCATATAAAGCCCCGATATTTCAATTTGATTTTGAACCCTACCTAAATCATCATCTTGGAAAAATCCTAGCACATCATCCCTAAAACGCCCAATAGAAAAAAACCCATATTTAAATCCCTAATTGATTCAAACGATGAGAACTTGGATGAAGTCGCACCTTCTTCACCCTCCGGTTCGACTTCATAGCATTGTTGATTCAAAATTTTAGGTAATATTTCTCGATATTGTTATACTCTTATCTCTTCAACTATCTTCAATTGTTCACTTCAATGTCTCCAGTCGGTTTCATTATCTTCAATCGATCGAAGTGAAAGATGCCTATATTTTCAGAGTTGATTTGTTAGGGTTCGTTCACATCCCTGTGGAGGAGACTGCGATCTCCTCTTCATTCCACGATCCCCACTTGTACTCTCTATGTATCTCATGTATTCTTTTGTTCCTTCTCCCTTATTCTCATTCTTGTTTGATTTCTTAGGTGCGAGATCCTCCCCCCGTACTTTTCTGCTTCTCGATCCCATTCTGATAATTTGTTAAGAGTCGCACACACTCTATGCATCTACTCTCTATGAATCTTAGGTTTTGTTCTTCCAGCAATGAACCAAGATTTATCAACACTTTCACCTTCGACAGCAAGGAGGATTCACCAACTCTTGTTATGGTTCATGGATATGCAGCTGCTTAGGGCTTCTTCTTTAAAAATTTTGATGCTCTCACAAAAAATTTCAGGGTGATTGCAATGGATTAACTTGGGTGATTTCAATATGTTGTGTTTCTCATCTTTTATTTAGGTACAACCAAACAAGGGCTTTTTCGGAATTATGCAAAAAAAGCATCGTCCCTAAATACTTAATCCTCGACACCATTTCCCACGTTTCAATCCAATCAAAATGTGGCCCACGTAATCGTGAAGCAGATGCTTTAAGCACAGGGACATTTTTGTAAAGATCATAGAAACCAATGACAACTGTAACAATAGAGATGATGACATATAGAGCTCTTGCTAAAGGGCACATCCATGGTCGATAAATATGGCAAAAAACAGGGTATGATTGGGAGAAAATTACCCAAGATGGAAGTCCAGCTTCTAGAAGAGTCAATAATCTTAAATCTGATATGATTATTTCCTTTAATTCAAAAGGGAGATCATGGTTGTTAAACTTGAATAAAAGCAACATGTCTCTTGACTCACTGGGTTCAGCTGTTTCACCACAATGAGTTAACGAGGACATTTTGGTAATTACGGTTCTTCCGTTACTTATGTCACTGTAAATATTCACCTCAACATCAATTCCTGCTGAATTTGTTTTTTTTTCTTCTCTTATAAGGTGTAGGGGTATGAATTTCTTCACTTGTTTCATTTTCTAAAGTTTCTACCTTTTTATCAAGAATTTTCCTTTGTAAGGTTTTTTCATCATCTTTTCTACAAGGGTAGTCTTGGAATTCTTTTGGGGCGTCATAAAACTCATCTCCTGTATATATAAATCATATCAATTAACCTGATTTTCTTGATCTGACAAGGAAATACGAGACCACAAAAAGAAAAGGGGGACAAGGGCAAACAGGTAATTCCTCTTATTACAGCATTGTACCTAAATAAAAGACCCTAATTGTAAATGTGAAGATTCGAGGGTGAACAAGATTTTATTATCAACATATTTAACTATTATCAATCTATAGTTTGAGACAAGTACAAAGACTGTATAGCAGACGAAAAATTCTCTATAAATGATGAAATCATATAAAGTAATCATAAAGTTATATTGTGCAAATTATAATAAGATAAATGAAGTATGTAATAAGTTAAAGTTGGTCATCATATGTTGCATTTATAGGCATTTAGTATGATGTGTAATTTGATTTTTTTATTTTTATTCTTATTTATGTTTATTTTCTTTAAAGGTGTATTCTTTGTTTGAATTGCAGGCTATTCAGGTCAAGATGAATATCTTGCGGTTTTCTGGCTACGTCTGGCAAGAGAGTGATGTAAGATACATTTCATTTATAAAATATCATATCATCTTAAATAGCATATGATTAAAATATCATGATGCATGATAAATAATAATCAGATATATTTATTGTTACAGGAAAAGCAAAAACTGAAAGTGAAAGAAAAGCTTGACAAGAATAATAAAGAGAAGCTTTTGGAATTTTTTGATCTGTTTGACATGCCAATTGGCAAGACTTCTGCAAAGAAGGTTTGTTTAGTTTTTATATCTATCTTTCACAATTTGTTTAAATTACTTTAAATAAATATTATGTTTGTTCCGCAAACAGGAAGATGTTGTCATAAAGCTGATAGATTTTATGTTGAAGCCTCATGTCACAAATAGTGAGTTGCTTTCAGAGAAAGAACAGTTATGTATTTATTTCAGTTGAAGTTTTTACTTTTTTAATATATCTTTTTTACTGTTACAACTTTCCTCAAGTTATTCAGTCGAGCAAGGGTAAAAAGCGATCAACAAGAAGTTAGAAAAGCACATCACCCTTGTATCTCTCAATGATAATGTAGAAACCCTAAACCCTAAACCCTAAACCCTGAAGGTAACTCTCCTTCAATACGTTCTTATCATGGTCATAACTGAAACCTCAACCATAAACCCTAAAAACATAGTATCTAATGCTTGTATACTTGTATCTCTGAATAATAATGCAAAAACTGAGGATTGGTTCATTGATTCCCGTGAGGAATGGAGAAAAGCCAAACACCTTGATAAGTTTATTTTTCTTGGGCATTCTTTTGGAGGATATGTTGTATCTAAATATGCCTTTAAGGTAACTCTCCTGATGATAAATATTACAAAAACAACTTTCATGTCTCAAATCTAAATTACATTAATCTAATGAGTTCACACTTTTACCAAAACGAAGCATCCTGAGCATGTACAACATCTTGTTTTGGTGGGACCTGCTGGATTTTCCTTAGAAGTTAACCATAAATCAAAATGGCTTACAAAATCCAGGGCAACATGGAAAGGAGCTATTATGAGCCATTTATGGGAATCTAATTTTACTCCTATGAAAGTACTCAGTTAATATAATGATTATAATCTTTAATTGCTTATTGTTATAGGGAAATTGAATTATAATATTATATATAGCATTGATGGGTGGAATTTTATGATGGAGCTCATCATACACAAAGTTACTGCCTTGGCCATACATAGTGAGTGCGTTACTGTCCATTGAGACTAGCGATACCCTTTTCCTTTTCCTTTTCCTTTTCTGCAGAGTCTACGAGTGCCATGATGCATCATGCTGGACATAGATTTCATGAAGTCTTTCAGATGAAACATGGTGACTATTCTGATCTTCCTGCAGCAAAAATCTCAGAGTTGATGAAATCTAACAGTTTGGATGTGATTTCCTTAATGCTTTTTGTCCCTTGTGAATTCATCAATATTCACATTTTACAATTGTATAAATTTAGAATCTTTTATTGTCCAGATTGCCCCTACATAGTCGCTTCTAAGCATAGTAAATGGGATTCTAGAAAAAAGCATCAGCAGGATGAGTAGTGAAATACCTCATGTATGCATGCTGTTACAGAAAAGTTTCTTCTTTCTGTAAAATTAAGAACGTAAAATATGTTTTTTTTAATATAAAACTAATATTCTCTTTTGATATATATATATATATATATATATATATATATATATATATATATATATATATATATATATGTTTTATTCCAACGTGTTGCTTGCCTCATGAGGAAAGCCGTTGATGACCTAGAGGTTAGAATTTTCATTTCTCAACTTAATTCATTTAACCAAAATGTTCTCAAGTTCTTTATGGCTTGTTCTTTTAGAAAGGGACAGTTGTAGAAAAACTAACAGAAGCTAATTTGAGAGACTGCAACCATTTAAAGGAACTCATCTATGTGTCAGAAGGTAAATACTAAATATCATTCATGTTCTTTACTCATTACACAAAAATATGTTTGATAATATAATGGAAGATGTAAAATATAGCTGAGCGACAAATTGGGGAGACTGCATTGAATGAAATGAGTTCAAGATCTCATCAAATTTTACGACTGGTACATATTTTTTTTCTTCAACTAACTTTTTAAAACATGAATAAGAATACAATTTAGATTAATCTTAATCATTCACACGATATTAAAATGCATAAGAATACTTTTAAAAACATGAATAAGAATACAATTTCTTGTTGGAATTCCTAAAATGACAAAAGTGCCCATAAGCCATAACAAAGTTGGTCCTACTGGTCTTATGTAGTGGTTTGTATGGGCAATCTAGGGTTTGTTTGAAAAGTAATCTTTTTGTAGAAATGACACAATTACCCCCAAAGGGTGTAGGATAGTAGCTTCGAGCTTGAGAAATCAATTTGTATGTTTGTTTGGCAAGTTTTATGATTTGGATGCAGTAAAGGAGGAATTGGGCATGTGCCTTAACAATTAACTCGAAGCTAACATGCATACTACAAAACTCTCTTGGAGGCTATGCAAGAACTAAAATACTATGCATTGTGTGTCCTGTACATAGTAATGCTGAACAATCAAGAAACACCTTTCTTTTTGGTTCTTGTGCTAAAGATGTTAACACAAATGCACAAGTTAATGTAAACTTGATTCTGTAACTCTCAGTCTACCAACATTAGAGTTTAATTGGGTGATTGAAGGTGATTTTGGTTCTTGAAACGAGACTCAAGATATCATATTTTGGCATGGCTAGAAGCTTTGGAGGAAACGAGACTCAAGCAAAAGTAAAAACACACAGAGTTGTTAGCACATAGTAAGCTAGATGATGCAATTGTATATAAATGAGTTCATTTGTGTATAAAATTTACTCACTTTTGGAATAATTATTTGTATTTGACATATTGGTGAAATGAATTATCTTTGTTATTTATGGTATTTTATTTTCTATTATGAGATTTTTAATGTATTATTAAATTTGAAAATTAGTAAATCTATAAATAATATTCTTTTTTAACATTTAAAATTATGATACGCAAAAATGTGTGTCATCTTCATTTATGAAATGGCCTTTCTTGACAAGGGCTTTCTTGTTACGCATTGCGTGTCCATAACACGCGCGTCGTAAGGTTATGACACGCGAAAGCGTGTCGTCTTCCTTTATGACAGGGCCTTCCTTGATACGCATTGCGTGTCGTAAACACGCGTCGTATTTGCGCGTCGTAAATGAGCGTCGTAAATGCGTGTCGTCTATAGACGACGCGCAAAAGCACGTCGTTTCTCTTTATGACACGACCTTCCTTGACGCGCATTTGCGTGTCGTCTGAGCCTTTTACGATGCGCAATGAGCGTCATAAAAGGCTGTTTTTCTAGTAGTGCTTGGTGTAATGTAGTAATAATCCAAGTATGTATTTATGGTTATGTGTTGGCACCCAATTACTAATTAGGTGTTATTTTGGTGTTACCAGTTTGGAGATCTATCATCTAGCAGTTAGGGTTGAGTCCGTGGGACTTCAGCAATGTGGGGTTATGTCTATAGGAATTCAGCAGTGTGAGGTGATTTTCCTTCTAGTAGCAACGGGTCTACGGCCACAATACCGGCCCGTTTAGATAGTAGTAGTTCAGTATGCTTGATGCCTTTGTGATTCAGCCAGGTCTATGTGATATCTGTTTCGGGCTACGGTCCGATGCAGTATGTAGTATATATGTGTTATTGTTACATGTTATGATTATTTCCTAATATGTTCAGTCAATTCTGGACTCCGGTCCGATGCAGAGGGCGAGGCCCTAGTTAGTTTCGGACTTCGGTCCGATGTAGTGGTCAAGGTCGTAGTTAGTTCCGGACTTTGGTCTCATGCAGTGGGCATCGCCCTAGCTAGTTCCTGACTTTGGTCCGATGCAGTGGGCAAGGCCCTAGAAAGTTCCGGACATCAGTCCGATGTAGTGGGCAAGGACCAGTATGTGTTTTATATTTTATTGTATGTTATGTGGTAGTTTGGGGGAGCTCACTAAGCTTCGTGCTTACAATTTCAGTTTTGGTTTCACGTACTCAGTTTTCAAAAGAGGAGCTCTGGATGTTCATACTCTGATATTTTGATAATTGTTACGATATTTTTAGATACACTGTTTATGATTTTTGTATGATGTTCGATGACTATGGTTTTATTATTAAATTAAAACGAAAATTTTAGACTGTATTTTTGGGATGTTTCAAGTTGGTGTCAAAGCCTTGGTTTGAGGGATTCGGGCACACATTCGGGTGTATCTGAAGTCAAACTAAGGATGTGATATTAATTTTTCAAAAGAAAAGGGTTTTATAAAATAGAAAAGAATATTTAGAAAGAAAAAGAACTTTGAAAAGAGAAAAAGGGTGTGGTCCATGCAATCTGCCGAGCTTAAGTAAGTACTCTGAAATTATCCATACAAGTTTATGCTATGTTATGATTATCAGCTTTATTAGAACAACATGCTATATTAGGACTAAGGATCTAATAAGTATGCCTTATGCGCCTTTTATATGTGTTTCAGCTCTATGACAACTGCATGCTAGTACAGAATTGTCAGTATGATAGCCAGAGTAGTATATGCTTGATTATATGTACTCGATGCTCGAATGCTGCTTGCTTTGTGCTTTTAGGATTCTTAGTTATCTTTTACTAACTAGTAAATGAATATGTTACATTACATATTGTGAGGATTAAATAATTTTAAAAGGTTAGGTCTAGCTCTATTGCGCAACTCTTGTTTGAGTCCAATCGTTGTAGGGTTGGACCTCTTATTCGAAGAATTATCTAGTCTTAGTAATATGTAATAGTATTCACGAGCTAGTTAGGGGGAGGTAGCTAGGACTTTTTGTGCAGCGGATAGCATGGTTTCGGTTGGTGATTACCCTAAGTCAAGCCTAGGATGAGAGTAGCAGAGACCAGTAGTAATAGAATGGACTCGGTGGAGGCAGTTCTTGAGGAAAGTACGGATTGATGTGGAAGGTAGTATGGGCCCATACTACTGAAAGCAGATGATCCGTAATCGAATCAAGGAAGGCTGGGATAAGACCAGGGAACTTGTAGGGTGTGAGATCCCTCAATTATGATGAGTATTATGATGATCATGATGGTATATTTCCATGTATAGTGACGCTTAGAGGTAGACCAAATGGTAACTCTGGTGTTGACGAGGGATCAGGGTCAGACTCTATAGTTGGGCTGCTCGATGATCAGATGAGGGAATTCATTCCATCTGAGGTTACTTGCAGTATTATTGACCAGACTTCCGTAATCCTCAGTATGATCAAGGAGGGAATTATAGAGATTGTGATGAGAGGCTGAGTACTTTCTGCACTGAGATTACAGTCATGATAGGGAGCCATACATTGATGTTTTGGGAATTCAGAGTTCGTGAAGCTTCAGATTTTCTTGGGGTTAGGGACCCCATTGTTAGCAGTAGATGGTTGGTAGATGTCGCCAACACTTTTTGTACGAGATGTTGTCTCGAAAGGAGACAATATCTTACTTACTTCCTGTCTTTTGAGGGATAGAGCACGAGATTGATATGACGAGGTTGGTAGTGAGTTGAGTGATGATGTGGTTAATGTTATGTCATGGGATGAGTTTTAGACTAGATTTTGGGTAGAGAGTGGCCAAGCGATTGAGGCGCAGCAGTTGGGGAAAGAGTTGTTAGATCTCCACCAGATGACTAAGACTATGGCAGAGATCAATGCTAAGTCTCAAGAAAGAGCTTATATGGTACCGCATTATTCAGCAGATGAGGAAATGAGGACGGTAAGTTATCAAACATATTATAGAATGATAGCAGGGAGATCATGAGTATATCGGGGTGCAAGACCCTGAATGATATGACTTCTTAAGCTTGAGAACAAGATATGGACTTGGAGCACATTAGTGAGAGGGAATTAGATCAGTTGCTTATATACAAGTGTCTCGGCAGAAGACCCTAGATTTTGGATCAGCTTTTGAGGGACCAACCGGATTAGATTCAGTACATCACAAGATGGAGTCTTTGGCTCCAAGGGTTTGAGTAAGTGTAGCCTGGGTTATCCTTGGTTTGTGTCTGAATTATATTTTCAGGAGATGTCATATGCCAATTGCATACCGAGAAGCATTAGTGAGTAGTGATAGAGCATATCCCAAATTGCAGGATTTGGAGAGTACAACGTCATCTTGGTTTATTCAAAGACCGAGGAGCATCACGAGAAGCATTTAAGGGAGGTGCTAGAGACTTTAAGGAGGGAGAGACCTTTTGCAAGGCACTCCAAATGTCATATCTAGTTGTGCGAGGTGCAATTTCTTGGGCACCTTATCAATCAGAAGGGTATTCTAGTCATTCTGGCCAAGATAGAGGTCGTGATGCAGTGGGAGATTCTGAGGTCTCCAATTGAGATTCAGAGCTTCCTGGGTCTAGAGGGATATTACCAGAGATTTATTCAGGTTCTTGGAGGTGGTGTGATATTTTGGACTGACTAGTATAGAACCACTAGCAATGGAAAATGTGGTTTTTAGCAGATTGGGCATTGAATGGTAAGAAGGATTGAGAATCCTTCCAATCTTGTGTGTCGTA